TGCACTTCGGCACCTCAGCTACCCTGAGAGATTGGAGCGCCTGAACTTGCCTAGCTTATACTACAGACGGGCAAGGGGGGACCTAGTTGAGGTTTATAAGCATCTCAGGGGGCACTACTCAGTTGAGTGTCCTTACTTGGAGCTGGCGGACGCTCGCCCCACAAGGGGTCACAGCTCAAGATTGAAGAAGCCGCAAGTCCAGAAAACCGTGAGGGCAAACTTTTTCGGAGTGAGGGTTGTAAACTCTTGGAACAATCTACCAGAGAGTGTTGTGACGGCACCGAGTATGAGCTCTTTCAAGAGAAGACTTGACCAACACTGGAGCGGGTTCAGGTACATTCAGGAGCCGGTGCATGCCCAGTATTTGCCAACAGTGCGTGACAGAGACGTGACCGATCGCCCGGGCGGCTAGCGAGCCGACCTTTTGATGAAGAATATAAAGGAAAAGAGACGTGACCGATCGCCCAAGCGGCTAACAAGCCGATCAGTGGCGAAGAGGATAAAAGTAAAAAGTAAATGGATTAGGGCGTGGTTACAGGACAGGAAACAGCGAGTGAGCATTAACGGCACTAAGTCCCATTGGAGCAACGTCACAAGTGGAGTTCCCCAAGGCTCAGTACTTGGACCATTATTATTTATTATATACATAAACGACATAGATATCGGCATAGACAGCAACATAAGTAAATTTGCTGATGACACTAAAATAGGACGTGTTATTAAATCTGACGAGGACTCAGCAAAACTACAGGAAGATCTAAACAAATATTTCGAATGGTCTGAAAAATGGCAGATGAAATTCAACGTGGACAAATGTAAAGTACTCAGTATAGGAGATGTAAACAGGGAAACCAGATACCAGATGAACAACGATGCCATAGAGAAATCCGACTGCGAGAGAGATTTAGGAGTAATGATAAGTAGGAACCTTAAGCCAAGTAAACAATGTGTTTTGCTCGTAACAAGGCTAATAAAGTACTTGGGTTCATACAAAGGAGTGTTAGTTACAAGACTAGCGAGGTCATCCTAAAACTGTATCTTCCTCTTGTGGCTCTTGTGAGACCACACCTGGATTACGCAGTTCAGTTCTGGTCACCGTATTATAGAATGGATATAGAATCATTGGAAAGAATTCAGAGGAGAATGACAAGACTAATCCCGGGCATTAGGAACCTTGAGTATAGAGACAGGTTAAAGCACCTTAATTTGCACTCCCTCGAGAGACGTAGAGCGAGGGGCGACCTGATAGAGGTGTATAAGTGGAAGTGGAAGTCCAATTTCTGCCTCTCAACAATGAAGGCCCGAATGCCGAACACGCTTTGTTAAAGAGACGCAATACAACCCGACCGGCAACGACCCTAGCCCTAGCCTAACTTACTCCAGTGCTTTTCAAATCTAGCCTTGAAAGAGCTCACACTCGGTGCCGTCACAACACTCTCTGGCAGATTGTTCCAAGAGTTCACAACTCTTATTCCGAAAAAGTTATCCCTCACAGTTTTCTGGGCTTGAGGCTTCTTCAACCTTGAGCTGTGACTCCTTGCGAGGCGAGCGTCCGCCAGCTCCAGGAATGGGCACTCGACTTAGTGCCCTTGAGATGCTTATCCACCTCAATTAGGTCTCCCCTTGCCCGTCTGTAGTATCAGCTAGGAAATTTAAAGCGCTCTAATCTCTCAGGGTAGCTGAGGTGCCACAGTGCTTGCACCAGTCTGGTAGCCCTCCTTTGGACATTTTCAATCAGTTGACAGTCCCTAGCATAACTCGGGGACGAGACCTGTATTTTAGAACAGCTCACTATTTTTATTAGAACTCTATTTTTTTCAGAACTGTACAGATTGTATAGAGATGTACAGTACATTAAAAGAAGCCTACTTGTATGTAGAGCGTTACCTTGCTAACCTTTCTCTGTTGAGTTTGTAGTGGATTCCTCCCCTACAAACACTGTTTGTCGCTGGCTAGCCGACCCCGCGAATTCCCCAGTGTATGCCTCGTGGTCTAAGTCAACCAGCGCCGCCTTACATCACGGAGGTCAGCTATTAAGCCACGCCTACTTCTGCTATAAAAGACCTGACCTCGTGGTGACTTACCTCTCTTTCTATCTACAGTCAGTCTTCAAGTAACACTGTAGTGGATCCCTCCCCTACAAACGCTTTTGTCGCTGAGTAGCCGACCCCGCAAATTCCCCAGTGTATGCCTCGTGGTCTAGGTCAACCAACGCCGCCTTACATCACGGAGGCAGTGGCGTAGCTAGTGTGTGTGCCGCCCGGGCCCAAGTTACCCACAAAAAATACATATTGCACAGTGACTCACTCTATATATATATATATATATATATATATATATATATATATATATATATATATATATATATATATATATATATATATATATATATATATATATTAAATAGTTTGTGTACCATTATAATATTACTGTACCTTCACATACTCAAATATAGTATGCTTTAAATACACCCCAAACATACTTAAACTTTATAAGTAACAGTTAAACAAAAAGCAAAAACGACATATAGGATAGGGAAAAAAGTAAAAAAGTGTAAAAAATTAGGACCATCTTTATTTCTGAAATGAAAACTACAACTTTCTACAAAGTAACTTTTCTTGTTTTTTTGTTGGCAAATTCTTCAATGACATTGTCAAAAACTATTTCATCTGTCAATTGTCGCTCTATAGACAGTATGGCAAGATTTCTCAACCGCAAGGTGCTCATAGTAGATCTTAAGTAATTCTTGATCAGTTTTAGTTTCGAAAAACTCCTCTCACAGGTAGCAACACTAACAGCAATTGTGAGGAAAATCCTCAGCATTATTACTATATTTGGAACCGAGTTCCCAAGGTTATACTTTTGAATAAACTGCAAAAGTTCAAGGGGGCCTTCTTTCCACGTCTGTATTCTGTCTTTAATAGTTATAGCAGCAACAGCAACAAAATGCTGAAGTCTTTTTCTCTCAACGAGGAACTCCTCTTTATCAATGTCGTCGTGATCGTGATCTATTTGACACTCATATTTATCATCCAAAAGATTCAATGGGGTAAGGAAGGCATATTTCTCAGCAAGTTCATGAAGCTGTTGAAATCTCAAAGTTATTTCTTGGATCACTCTGTCCAGCGAAGAAAACATTTCTCTCCTCAATTCAATGTCGTATGGCAATTCAGCATCTCGTGATCCTTCACCAAACGTATGTTTCTTCTTTTTGGGTCGACGCCGATACAAAGGGATGGATTAACATCTCCAGTAGCTGCAGATATGGGTGATGAGCAGACCCAAAAGTGCCGCCCCCCAAAAGTGCCGCCCGGGGCGGACCGCCCCCCCCTAGCTACGCTAGTGACCAGGACCAATCAAAGAATGGATGGAAGAGACAGAAGACGGAAGAAGAGAACACTCGTGGTTCCCTAAAAGTAAAACAAGAGCCCTAGAACCCACACCAACTCCACTCTACTAAAAGATGCAAGGTTACCCCAGTGACAACCTTGGCAGCCAAACCACTTACAACATTAGATCATAAAAAGATAGGATGTTCTTGGCAGAAACACAAGTACCTGCCCTAGACTCCTCACCATTGGCTAGGACATAACACACGAAAATGAAAGGCATAAAATTGCAATAGTTGCTAAACATACAAACACCTGACATAAATATAACACCTAAGACGAAATTTAGCTTAAACACAAACATGAGATAACAGAAGCACTTGGGTTGAGCCCCAAGACCTAGCATTCTACTACTATTTTCCAATTTCCTCGCTTTTCTTCTGCATTATCCACCAACCTCAAGTCCCTCCAAATTCCACCATTATTCTTCAAGTCCAGTTCCCGCACCACCAATCTACGCACCTGCATCAAGATTTCTTCATACTTTACTTCATCCATCCATCCATCCGACCACTCTCTTCTTCTACCTACACCAACGAGCAAGCAACACCTCCTCCTGCCTGGCGGCCCTCGCTCCCGCCGGCGAGCATGGCGACCCACAAGCTGGTCCTTCTCTGAGCATCCTCACCAACCAGCTCTCTGTACATCACGCTTGTAACCACGCTGCCACTTCCCAGCACCAAGCTGCACTGTACATCCAATACAATATGTATACGGAGAGCACATTGTGAGTTTCCTTTCTCCATCCCATCCTGAATGTGAACCAAATATCTCGTGCCCCACAAATTCAAGCAAGGTTCGATCCCCAGCCTGGGCTTTCTTTGGGTACTCTGGTTTCCACCTGTGTTAACAGTGGACAATGCAGATGCATAGAGGCAGAAATCCTTATATATTTTCGATTTTTTTAATAAATACGCTCATTTATAAATTTTTTCAGAAATAAAAAGACAATTTTAATTCTATTGCAACCCGGCGCAATCTTTCCCAGTAGTTTCGTACCCTATATATGCTGCTGGTGAATGTGATGTATTTCCTTCTTTGTGTACGAATCTCTGTCCTGCGTGGCAGTGAACAGTGGCATTACCCGCATGAATCTGACCTATATATAGTGTCAATGAATTTGATGCATTCTTTGTGTACGAACCTCTGTCCTGTATGGCAGTGGAAAGTGACATTACCCACATGAATCTGACCGACGTACATGTATGTATGTGTGCGTGTGTGCATGTATATGTACATGTACATGTTTATGTGTATGTATATATGTATATGTATGTATATGTGTGTGTTTACATATATGTATATGTACTGTCAATGAATATGATGCAGCTCTTTGTGTACGAACCTCTGTCCTGCATGGCAGTGAACAGTGACATTACCCATATGAATCTGACCTCTATACATTTATAGTTGTTAATGAATATGATGTATTTCTTTGTGTGTGAACCTCCGTCCTGCGTGACAGTGAGAAGTGATACCACCCTCAGTGTCAAGACCTGACTGAATTACTCAGAATAGGCAAACTGTACTACAAGCTCTGCCAATAAATTTGTTAAACTAAAAAAGTCCCCTTTTTCTCGGTGACAGGGATAAAAATAAATAAATGAATAACAGTAGCAGTTCGGTTCGACCCAACCAAGGATTCAGAGACTATAATAGTCTCAAATCTCAATCCTTTTGGCCTAACCGATGACAATTTAGTAAGCGACGTAAACAATAACATTCCTGAACCTTCACACGTGATGGTAAGAAAACTAGTGTGGAAGATTACATTTACAGTCTCTTATTTGCCCGATGACCACCCAAACAGTCCAAACTAAAAGTGGCATGTCGAAGGAGGACTGAGTAGTGCCCCTTGAGATGCTTATACACCTCAATTAGGTCACCCCTTGCCCGTCTGTAATATAAGCTAGGCAAGTTCAGGCCATTGTTCTTGATAATTTTGTCAAGTGCTATTTTGAATCCTAGTACTGTTCTTGATTCCACAGCTTGTGCTTGCACTCCACCCATTGTGTGAAGAAGTATTTCCGTATTCATTTTACGTGATAACTTGGCGAGCTTGTGGTAAATTAGTAATGTCCCCTCTTGTTGCTTGGGTTCACGTTTCCATCCCTTTCAGAATTTTGAAAGTTTGAATGAAATCTGCCCTATTGTGCCAAGGCCCATTAGGGGTCACAGCTCAAGTCTGAACCAGCCACAAGTTAGGAAAATTGTCAGGGCAAACTTTTTCGGAGTGAGAATTGTAGTTAAACTCTTGGAACAATCTGCCAGAAAGTGTTGTGACAGCATCGAGTGTGATTACAATCCACTTGAACAATTTCCACTTGGATGATCTTCTGTTTTATGCGATTTAACCTAACCTAACGTAGGTAAATATTTGTCTATTGGCTATCCTCAGGTTTTCATACACATATGTGTTAATTTTTTTGTGTGTGTGTGTTTTACACGAATCTGACCTTTATTTCTTGTGCAAATTAGCATTTTTTGCAAAAAAATGAAAATTTTTCATTTGTAACAGAAACCGCTAATTTGCATAAAAATGGCAGTCAGGTTTGAGTAAAACACACCGTAGAACACCAAAATAAAAAAATGTTAATTTTTCGTTTACTACCCATATCCTTTTTTTTTCACATGAAAAATATTTTTTTTTGCTCGAAAAAAAAAATATGGGAAACAAGGTTAAAACTAAACTAGGTCTACGCACTAACCAAACCTTACCTAACCTAACAGGCCACGCCCTAACCTAACCTGTGAAAAAAGGAGATGGGTGATTCATGAAAAATGACCAAAAACCGTAACCTAACCTAATCTAACCCAACCCACACTATATACAACCTAGCCTAGTCTTTTTGAGCTTACTTGTGCTACTGTGGTGGAGGATACAGCTGGGCGATCTGGAGAAGGAAGTGGTGGGTAATTTCTGTCTTTTCTTAAAACTAAACAATTTCCACACTTAGAACACAGTGTTGATGTTGGTAAGACACCTTGATCTTGTAATATTGTTATTGCTTCACTGTCGTTTTCACAAACTCGCTGAATAACAATTAGATATGGGAGAGAGCACTTATCACATCCATCATAAGCCTTCAAAATTTTAAATTGCGCAGTGGAAGGCTGGTTAAAATGATTGGCCAGCCAAGTCACATGACACAATACTAGAAGGTTAAGTTGCAAAGAGGAGGAGGAAAGGATGAGACAATTGACTATGGCAACATGCTAGATACAAAATATGCGTAGAAATTTGTGAGATACAGTACTCCGTTAATATTGATTTGCACAATAAATGATATGAAGTCGTATAATTTGTTTTTTCTAGTCATTGTGTCTGTAATATTGAAAATTGGAAACCTGCAGATAGCCAATTGAAGAATATTAACCCTAATCTAACCTAACCTTATCTTTTGGTAAAGTTTCGTTTTAGGTCGAGCATGGAAATTCATATACACCCGCCTCTCCTTTTATGCGGGGGTTACGTTCTTGAAAACCACCGCTCAATTCAAAAACGCGTAAATTAAACATAATTTTCCCATAAGAATACAGTAACTCCTCGACTTACGACATACTCGACTTACGACAACCCGGACATACAACGGCCATGGTCGTATAAAATATTTTTCACATTACGTATTTTTGAGTCCCGACGTTAGTGATTGCGCTGTGTAATGACAAAATTTTCGTTTGTAATTCACTTGAAAATGGCTGGCAAGAGTAAAAGTGAGAGTTCTCATGGTGCTGAGAAGAAAAAGAGACACCCATTTTAGAATTATGTTTTATTTTCTCCTTTTCGACTTACGACCAATTCGATTTACGACCTGGTCGTCGGGACGGAACCCAGTTGTAAGTTGAGGAGCGACTATACATGTAAATGGTACAGGTTAGGGGAACCATCATATACCGTACAGGGTACAAACAGTGCTCTCACTTAAACGAAGCACGCGGCCAACCACCGACACATGCTCTCCTCTCTGAAGGCGGGTGATCACATTTAAGTTCACGTCCATTGAGATTGTTTTTTGTGCCTTATTAGCCTTAGGCTTTTTGTGCCTTTTTAGCCTTAGGCACCCCAGAGGAAGCAGCTGGACGTTTTCCAGACATCCTCAATGGGGGAAACAGCATTTAACACTAAAAAGGTACGTGATAAACACACAATGCACATGAGAGCACAGAGAAAAAGTAGTGCTGGTGTGAACTGAGAAAGCAATATGCGGGAAGCTTGCTGGACGTCGTCACAGTTGTTGTACAGAATACTTCATTATCATCATATCTTCATCATTAGTAGTAATAATCGTTATTATTACATTAATATAATAATTATTATTATTAACAATAGTATTAAAATTGTTGATGTTGATATGACTTACAAGCACCTCACCGGGCAACCAGGCAAATATGCGTGGCAAATTTAAACTGTCTTGAGCGCGTTATTTAAAAAATAGGTGCACGTAAATTAACTTTTGGTATGAATTGAACAATCATGTTACTGTATTCCAAAAACGCTTAAATCAAACAATCATAAAACGCGAGTTACCATCGGTTTATTTAGGAAGAAAGAGAAGAAAAAACTTTATTATGCATCTGGGACAAATTTACATTTTTCTAGTATTTTAACTGACATCTTAGACAAGACCTCACCAATTGCCAATAACATTGGTTGTTCAAAATGGGCAGGGCTTTGAAGTAGAGGGAAAATGTGGGGTTGGGGAGTTTTTCCGGGGTTTGAGAGATGAAAATCGGGCAGAATTTCCGAAAATTCAGAGAAAAAATTACTGGTACAACACATGGAAAATTCCGGGGATGGGGGGATTTCTTTCCTGGTTCAAGAGACGATGTAATGCGCAATTTCTAGAACTAACGAGAAAATTTTCTCAGTTCCTGAAAATTTCTGGGGATGAGGGCTTTTTTTTCCGGCTTTGAGAGAGTAATATTGTTAGCTGGAAATCTCCCATTCCTGGAAGTGCTCTGCACCAATTGTTCCGGCTAACGGAGATATCATTGTCAATATTTCCGTCTTGTTCTAGAATTTGAGTCCAAACATCCAGGACCTTGGGTAATTGTGTTTAGCAGGAGCGTCCCGGCATAAAACCATGTTGGCAGTCCTTTACAAGGTTGTTTTGTAGTACCGTAGATGTTTCATTATGGCATCTCTTATGATGTTAATACTTTACACACTATGCTGGTCAGGCTCACTGGTCTACAATTATTTGTGGAGCGATAATCCCCCTTCTTGAATATAGGACTCACATAAGCCATTTTCCAGTCATCGGGGACATTTTGCTCTTCCAGGTACTGTATTTGCAGAACAGGATTTTAAGGAGCTCCACAAGTTTGTTACACAGTTCTCTTAACACTCTGGGGTGTACCATATCTGGGCCGGGCCTCATGTGAATCTTTAGCTTTGACAGTTTATTTCTTATACCCTCTTCTGAGAACACAATGTGGATCAGCACTGTATCAGACCGTCTTTCCTCAAATGTAGGAAGATTGTTAGAATCCTCTCTTGTGAACGCTGATGAAAAGAATTTGTACAGTACCTCTGCCTTATCCTGGTCAGAATCTGCATAACTACCATCTTCAAGCCTCAGGTTCGATATGTCCTACTCGCGTTTTTAATTTCAAATTTGCGTAGCGGTAATAAGCTTTTTGAGTTTGACTTGACCTCATTTGCATTCTGTCTCTGGAACTCTTTTTCAGCCCTTCTACACTCCTGACTTTGCTTGGTTCGTGGATTTGGCATACATCCTCCTGTCCTGCTCATCATTTGTCCTAACCGACGTCTCAAAATCCTGAGTTTTCTTTTTAGCTATGTCGACTACTGCATGGTTCATGTGCAGCAGCCTCCTTGTATTCCTGGAGGCACTGGGTTTGATCTTTGGTATATATTTATTAATTAAATGGTTAGCTTTACTGGCTGTGATATTCATCGTAGTGTCTGCGTTCTTATTTCTTAGTGAGTCAGGCCAGTGTATAGTATACGCCTCATCTCCTCTCCCATCCTGTCGTAATTTTCTTTGTCATATTTGAACCTGGAACTGGTTTCGTCATGAACCAAGTATATGTAACAGTTAAATCTGAAGGACAACTTTACGATGTGACTGGTGCCAACAGGGCTAGGTATTGCAGCTTGGCCACCATACCCTTTTTGTGAGTTATGATGGGGTCAGAGATTTGGGTATTTGCTCCCACCTGTATTGAGTCAGATCTTTAACTTGTTGGAATAGAAAATTGTCTCTCAGTTTCTGTGAAAAGAGTGGCAGGATTATTTAGGTCGTCTGGCGTGGAATAAAAAATGAACTTCTAATTAAGAGAAATTTGTTCTTAGTTGTCAGCAAGTTCTTAAGAGTTACCAGTAATCTCTGACTGACTCTCATATCACATTAACAGGCTTTTCATATTTGTCATACTGCTTAAACCTCATTTAAGTTGTAAGTTTCATTGTACAATACAATTTAATGTTTTTTAAATAGGGGTGACCATTCTTCTTTAGTAAGGGCTGGGGAAAAGTTTGAAACATATACTTGTATATATAGTAGATCAAATTAATGCTTGTGTTAAATACTGTACAGTACTCTACAGTATCATGTGTGATTAGGAAAAATAATAACTTCATTAATTAGATTTAAGTGAAATATCTTAGCCACAATATTGACTTCACTTCAGATAAATATGAATTAACTTATGATTAAAAAAACTAAAACAGAATGAAATTAGATTTACAGTATACTATTCACAGACTTTTGAGGATATTAATGGATGAGTGGACACCTTGACACCATGGATGAAATAGTTCAGCAAATCACAGGTCACTTATTTGTCACAGCAGTGGACCAGAAGATTGTTCGTGGTATTAACAAGGTAAGAGAAGCCAAAAATATTACATAAGTACTGGTACTCATTTGCAAAAAGCTGAAAAAAAGATAGTACTGTACTGTACAGGTACAGATAAAGTTCTAGTTCTAAAGAAAAACGAAAATGTGTTATTTAAATTAATGATGTTTTGTAACAGGTAGGTTTGGTTACTTTTTAGATGAGTGCAGTAATTTCTAAATGACTTTGGCCTTTACATTTGCTACATTATTTTATTATAATACAGTAGTACTGTGATGAGTGTAAGAACAAAGGAAACACAAGCAGACATTGGGAAATTTTCTCTTAACCTTACATCCTTCCTCAGGGGAAGACTGTAAGGATAAGAGAAAAATTCCCATCATCCTCTTGTGTTTCCTTTACCACCACACTCCCACCTGTTAAAATGAATCATATTCACACTGTGATGAACCTGCTTTTTTATGGGCCTACTTAAGGTGATACTGGGCATTATGTATGAAGAATATAGTACTGTACAGTACAGTAATTTAATTGCTATTGAAAGTATTCTGGTATTTTACCATGAATGATATCTAAGAAAAAAATAAATTGTTTAAATAAAGTACAGTGGGGTATGTTATAATGAACGGATTCTACTACGAATATTCCTATAACGAACGGTTTTACCTATAAAATTGAGAATGCTATAACGAACGCAACTCCTACGATGAACGCGGATGAATACGGGACTATTTCGTCTGGGGCATGAATATTGTTGTACCGCGGCTCACAGCAAGAGCGTCAGGCGCCATATTGGTTCATTGTGTAGTCAGTGCACCACTGAACTTGTTGAAATTTCGTCTTTTGATGTGGAAATTCGTGTTATTTTTATAACTATTTTGTTATACAAGTGTGCAATTATAACAATGAATCGTCAAAAGCGAGTGAGAAAGCTAATAACCCTTGAAACTAAGAAAGAAATTATAAATAAACAGACAAAGTGCCTGTAAGACAGTCACCAAAGAGGGCTAGGAAGGATGACTCCTCTCCTTCCACCTCTTCTCCATAATTCTCTCCTCCCCCCTCCTCCTCTGCCTCCTGTCCTGCATGCTAACAACACTAAGGTAAGATAAAGTACCGTATTTTTTACAATTTCCACAGAAATTTTTCAGTGTTAAGTGGTTGTAGTTGGGGGCCTGGAACGGATTAATCCTATAACGAACAAATGCTATAACGAACGAGGTTCTAGAACCAATTAGATTCGTTATAGCATACCCCACTACAATACTGGACAGTACAGTGTATAGGTTACCTGTACATGGAATACTGTAACATTCTATTTACAACCCTGCTTATCCTCAATTGATAATGTAACACCCCTATTCAATATTCACATATGAAAAATTACGATACCTTACAGTAATATTTCAAACTGCTTGCTAGCCACAGCTGTCATATTCTGCTGTAAGACCTGCTTCACACGAACATGTGTTTTCCATACTTGAGGATCTGCATGATTTAGAAATTACTGTAATGAAGCTCAATGGGACCATTCACACAGAGCACACGTAGGGGATGCTCACCCCACGCCTGTACCTGTACTGTACTGTAATTCCAAACTGGTTTGAAAAAACAAGCCGAGCATTCTAGAATTCTTCATACAGCTATGGTAAATGCTAGTTTAAATGTTTACGCTCGTTTAGAAATGTCGCGTGTGCGCGCACGCACACACACACACACACACACACACACACACACACACACACATTTTTCAGGCGCTGCTCCTGCTGAGCAGCAGCTCCCCTTGGCCATGTCGGCCCATTCCTTAAGTCCCTCACCCCGACCCATCCTCACCACCTGGATATCAACATACAGTAGTCGAAAGTGGCAATTTCACTTCGGAAAGAAGTTAGATCAGTGTTGAACAGTAATGAACAGTGTTTAAGCCAGTGAATTTAGCACTAAACAGTACTAGTGAGAGCCGTGACCCACCACTCAGATAAGCGCCCCTGGGAACCATCCTCTGACCAGACGGTGTTAATCTGTCCACCCTGGAAACAACAGCAGGCTGGCTTTCCACCTGACTACGAGATAACACAACATCACCTAACAGAGAGTGAGGTACTGTGACACCACACCACACAGTGTCTCAATAACCACTTGAGGTCCTTCATATCAACAACCGAGGACGAGCCACTATACCACGTGAATACCACACCACCCGGTGTCCCCATGACCACAATAGGTCCTTCATATCAACACCTGAGGACGAGTCACTATACCACGTGAACACCACATCACCTGATGTCTCCATGACCATGTGTGGTCCTTCATATTAACACCCGAGGACGAGTTACTGCACCACGTGAACACCACACCACCTTGTGTCTCAATGACCTGCCCAGGCCATCAACTGTAAACTATAATAATTTGGTATGCCCAATTCATGTTCCTTCTTCTTTCATTAATGAAAGCTTTTGTTTAACGACCCACCTACCCCATGTCTTTGTATGTAATAAGTAATTTTTGTCCAGTGTATATTTTCAGCCTTCAGGCTGCAGAATTTTCTCAATAAACCATTAATTATTATTATTATTATTACACACACACACACACACACACACCCACCCACCCACCCACTTGCTCGCTCACAGACAGAGTTCTTTTGAATTGTTTTTCTGGTATTGCATTACCTGTATATGGAGAGTATAGTCTCGTTCAAGATTCTTCGAACACTGCTGGAGACATCTGGCAACTCAAGGCCATTTGTTTACTACAGTACGTAGTAAAAATTATGAATAAATGTAAAAGTGATCGGTGATTGGTTACTTACTTACCCGTTGCTTAATTTAATGGTTGGGCTTTGATGTTTCGTATTATATTATACTATACTGTATACTATAGTAAACAAATGGCCTTGAGTTGCCAGCTGTCTCCAGCAGCATTCAAAGAATCTTGAACGAGACTGTATCTGTATATAAAAAAATAAGTTGCTATAAAATAAGAAATACGAAGAGCACGGGTGTGTATGTGTGTGAAGTGAACGTATGTGTGGAATTGGTATGTCGCCAAGTTAGACTGTTCCTGTAGCATCCCTCTACCTCTCCCCCTACCAGGCTAAGCTGTGTTATTGTTATTTTTCAACTCATATTTTTGATAAGATATACATCATTTTATTAATTTTACTCTGTTACATGCATTAACAATCGTTCATGCAGAATGTACAAACAAAAAGAAAGAAAAGAAAGGTATCGATTATCATAAAGTCAAATGATAAGCGAGAATAAATATTTCATACGTCTGCAGGAGTTAAGTGTTCAAATCTATGGAGGGGAAGGGGGTTGCAGTGTCTGGGGTCTCAGCCACGCCCTACCAGGTCAAGCCGTGGGCTGTAATTTTATTAATTTTTCTTACTCTGTTACATACACATGCAATTATTCATACAGAATGTGTCCCCCAAAAAATTATCATTAGGTCAAAAACATAGAGGGAATAAACATTTACTGTGTGCAAGGCAGTTACCCAACGGATCGTGGAAGGGGAGGAGGGAGCAGTGTTGGGGATCTCAGCCGTTCCAGTCTCTCGTGTCCTGCATGTAGTGAAACTATTACCAACTGGCAATGCAGTAACCAGTATTTTTATAATTTAGTTTAATTATTTTATTTACCTGTATTATTATAATTTTTATTTATTCCTCATATTTACTAGTACTACATAGCACACGACCTAATAGCCTCGGATAATGAGGAGTATATATTGGAAAATGTGGTGAAAGTTGCCGGCTAGGAATTCATGCCCCCATTACTTACATTAATTCTGAGGGGGAAAATTGCAATGGTATTCACAAATGTCTTATTTACAATGGTTTTTAGGAACACTTCCTATGCAATAATCGGAGTACAGGCTGACAACCCTTTATCCGAAATTTCAAAAACCGAAAATCTCAAAAAAACGATTTTTTTTAAATTTATTTATTTTTTTTTTAAACAGGGATTAGCCCACCCGGGCATAGATCACTGACCCACATCGGGGCCTGGGGGGCGAAAATGTAATAGTAATAATAATTATAATAATTATTCATAGTAAATAAAAATTTTAATAAAAAATACACCAAAATAAAATAATAATGATAACAATAATAATGATAATAACAACATATAATAATAAAATTCACAATAATAATAATAACAATAATACTGTAATATAAAATAATAATAATAATAATAATAAAGAAATACAAGAATGAAAAAAAAGATCAAAAGTGAGAAACATGACCTAGACCTATGAATTGTTATTATTATTATAATTTTTATTATAGTTTCGCCACCCAGGCCCCAATGTGGATCAGTGACTTGTGCCCGGGTAGGCTAATAAAAAAAAAAATTAACCATTCTGAAAACCGAAAAATTCCAAAATCTGAAATGCCTCTGGCCCCGAGGATTTCGGATAAGGGATTGTCAACCTGTATTGTGTATTCCTGTTTACTGTACTGTAGTAGATTATGAAAAAAACATTTGGCTCCTGGAATGAAAAATGAAGAAGTACAGTGTACATGCTGTAATAAATATGATGTGAACCAGTTGTTGTCAATGCTTGTAAACACACCCATCACAGGCAACAGTACAATGTGTTTGTGTAACTGTTCATCTTAGATTTTCCACCAGCACCATTAATATAGTAATGTAGTTGCTACATTGGGTTTTGAATAAGTTCCAGAATCTGTTAAACCTATCTCGGATACAGAGAGGAAACAAAGTGGTAAAATATTCTTTTGTATTTAATCAGAGTTGTTGTTTATCCTTGATGGTTTTTATTGTTAGGTTTCTAGGCTGGGGAGGGGGAATTCAGTGCTTGCATCATTTTCCATTTTTCCTTTAAGAAGTGAACTTTTATTTCCCACAGAATTGATATTAATGTTGTTCTGCAGGAGTGTAACCACCATGGAAATTAAGGGCTTACTGTACAAAACTACAGCCATTAGATATTTTTTACCTATTACAATGACTCAGTAAATACAGGTGTACAGTACAGTATTTGAATTACAGTAATCAAAGCCCCAGAAATTATATATAATGCATGCATTGAATGATTATTGTATGGGGAGTGGATAGAAAACCATTAGTATAACAGTAATGTATTTAGTTTAACATAATCATTCATTGTTTGGTGAACATTACAATGTAAAAAGCAAAAATAAGTTTGATACTGTACAGTAGGGGGCAGTGAAATTTTGCTCAAAGCTGCACTCTTCAGGCATTGTTCCTTATACATATCTAAGACTCCATGCCAAATTTGAAGCTGATATGTCGAGGTTTAGTCTGCCGCATTTTCTACTGAAATTTTTAAATTTACCTACAGTACTAGCCAAACAGCCGCTGTGGCGGTCCAATGTTCTGTTCAGTGTTTATCAACTTTTTTTTCATATCTCTTATTTCATTTAAGTTGTCTTGTTGCAGATGAGTATGGTGCTATGTCTTTATTGATTATCAGCCTTTTCTCATTTCATTTCTCAATGTTGTGTTACTGTACTGTAATGTAGGGGAGACCTGGGTAAGTTGGCGCACTTGGGTAAGTTGGCTGCCGCTTGTGACAGATACTTGATTAGTGATTATGCTGGAGCTGCCATTGCTACTGCCACCTTAACTGACTATGGCATTATCACAAAGGATGACAAGAGTCAGGTTATTGGACCACATAAGCTGCGGGATGCGAGACAAAAATACCGATTTAAGAGGCAAGAAATTGAGATGGCTAGTTTAGATAATTTGACGTCACTCTATTTTGATGGTAAGAAGACCGCCACTCGTGTGATGATAAAGAATGAGAAGACCGAGAAATGGAGTTCGAGGATGATGGTGAAAAATCATTATGTCATCATGGTTGAGCCTGGCAATGAATATCTCACACATGTGACTCCCAAGACTGGACACGGAAAGCAAATTGCCAAAACTATTCACGAGTTTCTGGTGGAGAAAAATCTAACCCAGCAGCCCATTGTGTGTGTTGGTTGTGATGGAACCAATGTAAATGTAGGATCAGAAAATGGAGTCATTCATCATCTTGAAATGTTACTTGGTCACCCACTCCATTATTTCATATGTCAGCTTCACGGAAATGAGCTGCCTTTCCGCGCAGTTTTTTATCACTATGATGGTAAACCAAGTGGTCCTGAGCATTGGCGTGGTCCCATTGGAAAGCAGATCAAGGAGTCTTTGTCTGAGCTTCCAGTTGTCGCCTTCCAGCCAGTCAGTTTCCCTGATTTCCCTGTGTTTAATGATGAAGTGGAGAAAGATCTGTCCTGGGATCAGAAATACCTGTATAGGATTTGTAAAGGAGTTATCACAGGTGTTGTTGAAGATGACTTGGCTGCTATTGAGCCAGGTCCTCCCTGTGTGTCAAGGTGGAACACCTTATGGAGTAGAATCCTCAGGCTGTATGTAGCAACATCAAGACCCAGCCATGAGTTGAAAAGAATTGTCATTACAATAATAAAGTTCAGTGCTCCAATGTGGTTTTACATCAAGATACACCCTTACGTAACACACGGCTCAAGGAACGTATTCCAGTCCCTGCTATATATGAAACACCTGAATAGTGAGGAGGAGACGATAGTGAAGAAGGCTGTCCAGAGAAATGCATACTTCGCCCACACAGATCAACTTCTTCTTGGTATGTGTGCAGATGAGGACATGACTGTTAGAGAAAAAGCTGTCTCAATGATAAGAAAAATTAGAGAGGAGAATCAGCAAAAGGAAGAATGCACTGGCAGATCTGAAGAGGAGGAGGAAGATTCTGATGCTGCTGTTGACGAGAATTTGTTAAACTATACTGATGAGGAGGGTAAAGATGGAGATGGGAATGAGGATGTGCCTCCTGTAGTCAACATGAGAAAGGTGGTGACTCCGAAACTAAAGTGGCAAGCAAAAAACTATCATTCCATGATTAACTGGAGGAATGAACTCAAGACTGAGCCTCCTTACATTGCTTCTCTGTCAAATCTACAGGTTAATGACATTCTTGAGACACCATTAGTGGTGCCCAAGTGGCCAAACAGCACTCAGGCGGTCGAGAGAGGCATAAAAGTGATGACTGAAGCTTGCACTGAAGTGACGGGATACGAATCGAGAGATGGATATATTAGGCAAAGATTATTGTCTAGGAAAATGATGCCAAGGTTCCGCACAAAAAAGAATTTCAATATGAACTTGTAATGATTTTCTATACGGTGTACCTGTAAAATAACATGTGAATTAAATCGATGTCACCCATGTAAAATTTATCATTATCCTGGAAAACATTAAATGACACTTAATTTTTGGTATACACTAAAAGTTGACAAAAAGTCGTTCGCGATGCGGCAGGGTAAGTATGCATGAAATGGCATGAAATTTTGCACAGGTGTTTGTTACAGCCATACAAACGATGCCTGAAAAGTGCAGCCTGCAACTCAAATAAAAGTGTTTTTTCCCTGCCCCCTAATATACATATATATATAATCAACACCTCAACCCGCCAGGATTCGAACCCACGGCCCATGAGCCCATGATTGTGACTGGGGAACGCTAACAGCTGGACCACCAGGATACTAAAAGCAGTCCTAGACTCTTGTTATATTTCACACAAAGCCTGTTCAACGAGCTTATCACGGGTAGTCCCCATTAGCGGTTCACGGCCAGTCTCTATTGGAATTAATTCTATATGTTCTGTTGTTCACTTTACGCGGTTTTCACTTTCCGCGGTACCCTGTTGCTTCAATTGACCGCGTAAATTGGGGTACTACTGTATATGTATATATATATATATATATATATATATATATATATATATATATATATATATATATATATATATATATATATATATATATATATATATATATATATATATATATATATATTTATATATATATATATATATATATATATATATATATATATATATATATATATACTGTATATATATATACACAGTATACTGCGTACTATTATGTACTTCATGTAGTTACTCGACCTGTTTCTGAATGGTTGGTCATTCTACATCTGTGACCTTTGAGCATGAATGAGTATTTTATTTTATTTATTTATTTATATAATTTTTTTACAGGGATTAGCCCACCCAGGCACAGGTCACTGACCCACATCGGGGTTGGGGGGGGGATGTAATAATAATAATAATAGTATTAATAATAATAATAATAATAATAATTCATAGTAAATAGAATTTATAATAAAAATACACAATTAAAAATTAAATAATACAGTATTGATACTGGTAACAATAATGATAATCACACTGTCATAATAATAACAAAGAACTATAGAGAAATACAAAAATGACAAAAAATCAATAGTGAGAAATAATACTGTACGTATATGTAAGTTGTGTTGTCAACATAAGAGAAACAATTGAGACCCTGCAATTGTGTGCAAATTAGGCAGAAAGACAGATCAGCAACCTGGGACTTGGTCACAATTTTTGTGATGCCATATAGCAGCAGGGTCTACCATTAGACAACACGTTTTCTAATGATGCATACATTAATATAGTTTAATGGAGTTCTTGTTGTATTGAAGTATCCTTGTATGCCATACAGGGATAACTCCTTTCCCCAATCCTATCCACATTTCTAGCTGTTGCTGATATGGTGAAAAGGCATATCAATTTATGATTAAGATGCACTGGGGATCATATCAAAGCATTTCGTCTAGCATTTAAAATTGTAGCTATGGAAGATCTAACATTACTTTTTTAGGGACTGTACATTAACATAATCAACAAGATGTGATCCTGTGTGTTAATTGATTAATTATTAATGCTGTGCAAAATCTCAGGAAATTGAGGAGTTGTTGCCAGATGTTAAGAAGCTACTACAAGCTGACATTGTCCAGAAGGTCAAGAAGCTCCTGGCAGAGGATCCCCTTGTAGCTCTAACAACTGGTAAACTATACAAGAGTTTTAAATATATACAGTATATATATATATATATATATATATATATATATATATATATATATATATATATATATATATATATATATATATATATATATATATATATATACGTATACATATACATATATATATATACATATACATATACACATATACAGGTGCTCCCTGACTTACGACGGGGTTAGGGACCCAAATCCAGGTCGTAATTCCGAATGGTCGTAAGTCCAACATAGATATAAAAAAAAATCAATTTTTTTTTTTTAATAAAAAATCTACAATGAAATACAGTACAGTAAAAGTAATAAATAATGAGGAATGGATACAGTACAGTGAAAGTTATAAATAATGAGGAATGGATACAGTGTGACTGAGCACTTACCTTTAATGTAGTCAGCTGAATGCACATGGGGCCCCCATAATTTTCTAATTATACATGGAGACTACATTAACTGGAAACGTTTCGGTATAGAAAATGTGTGTGTCATTTGGGAAAAAAAAAATAAAAGCTGAAGTGTGAAATGGGGAGTCTAACTTTAGCATATATATATATATATATATATATATATATATATATATATATATATATATATATATATATATATATATATATATATATATATATAAATATAAATATAAATATATATATATATATATATATATATATATATATATATATATATATATATATATATATATATATATACACAGTTGTGCCCATAGCAGCAGTCAATTGAACGGTCCGGGTTAAGTAGAAATCGCGTTAAATGAACAACAGAACATATGGGATTAATTCCAGCAAAGCCGGCCCGACCCCCAAATCACACTTTTTGAAGGCTATAACTATATGTTCAGCCGGTAAAAATAACATCTTAATTTTATGATGGTACATGCACACAATTAATATTTAAGAGAAATAGAGAAATACAGTCGCCAAGTTAATGTCCATTCAAATAATGGACTCAACTCCCTCCCCCTCTTCTCACACTACACTCACTGGCTCTTCCCTCTCAGAGAAATTTTTGGGGGAAAACCACTAAATTTTAATAAATAATACCTCAAACTAAAGTTAGGATAATACAATTGACATTGCTGGATTCCTTGTAGGACCAGGAATATTTTGAATATAAATGTCATATATTTTGCACAAAAAATAACATAGTTACCTAGAGAAAAATTTTATCTAAAATTTGTATGTTTAATGCAAAAAATATGATGTTTATATTCAAAATGATCACCAAATTATAAGAATTCCAGCAATGTAAATTATATTCTGACCGGGTAATTTGTATGAATTTTATGAGCTAAAACAAATATCTTCAGTTAATAAAAAAAAAAAAAATTCTTCACTGGGTAACAGATGGTCGGTCGGTCGGTCGGTCCCTCCCTCCCCCCCACCCCCCACCAACCGTCCCAAGGAGATGTGTGGGATAACCACTAAATTTTAATAAATAATACCTCAAACTAAAGTTAGGATAATATAATTGACATTGCTGGATTCCTTGTAAGACCAGGAATATTTTGAATATAAATGTCATATATTTTGCACAAAAGATAACATAGTTACCTGAGAAAATTTTTTATCTAAAATTTGTATGTCTAATGCAAAATATATGATGTTTATATTCAAAATGATCACCAAATTATAAGAATTCCAGCAATGTAAATTATATTCTGGCCGGGTAATTTGTATGAATTTTATGAGCTAAAACAGGCAGTCAGGCAGGGTGGCGGGTGGGGCAAATCTAAAACAAGCGTCTCGAGCCGGACACTCACAGCGTATATGTGGAAAAAATCCGTGTTAAGTGAAAGTTCAGCTCTGGGCCTTTTATATGATATAAGCGTTAAGTGAAGCAGCGTTAGGCGGGAAATTATACTGTATACATATATATATATATACATACATATATATATATACATATATATACATTATATATATATATATACACACACACAATATACCCTTATGTACTGTATACTGTACAGGTATATTGTTAATGGTATGTAGTTCAAGCTATAGCTCTGTGCCAAAATTCATCTCTAAATTTGTTTATTCCTAAAATGATTAACTTGCATCTTCTAACCAGTCCACACACAATATTTCAGGGTTTCCAGGGCACCATCAGTTCACCCTACTGTGAATAGGTACTGTACTTGATAAGAGCTCTTGTACAGAGATCAGTAAACCCTCCATCCAATATTTGGAAGTGTTTTGATCCTTGTATGAGATGGAAAAATATAAAATTAATAGGTAATTCTACAGGTATATGTTATACAGTAGACACTTGTAATAGTTTTTGATCAGTTGCTGTCCTTGAGTTAGCTTTTGAAGTGTATTATCTTTAGGGATAACTGAAAATAATCCCGTGAAAATATTTATATACTGTACAAGTATCTTATTATCTTCATCAGTGAACCTGGTGTGTGATGGCTGCTCAGCACTACGTGAGAGCTTGGGGGAGTGTTTGGAAGAGATTCTTGTTGTGTGTTCAACAAGACTACAGACCCACCTCATTGATCAACATAGGAAACACTCTCAGTTCCATGTTGCTGTTAAAGTAAGTTGAAATAAGTTAGAAGTGAGTATACAGCTTCTTGATTGTTATGAACAATGTTGTTTAAAGAACTAGTTTAGGAATAGTAAGACTCAGCCCTGTATAGTTACCTTGTTAACAGTTGATATCATTCATATTAATATACTGTAGTAATATATTTTATCCACCTTGAGCTTAAAGTAATACTAATTTATTTTAATTTTATTTTTGAATTTTTAATTATTTATTATTATTACTGTATTTTTTTTTTGGGGGGGGGGAATTGTAATAGGAAGTTTTTCATATTCATAATTGTGTACACCTCGACTACCTGAGTAAGTCTTGCAAGAGATTTGCTCTTGTTTCTATTTTCTGAAACAAAGTTTATTGTGATTTTTAGTTTATAATTGCAAAATTCATCAGAGTTCTCTTTCCAGTTTACACTTAAACACTTTGTTGAGAGTTGAATGACACTTGTCATTGTTTTATAATTGGTTTCTCTCTTACTTTCTTACAGATCATTTTAATACATTAATGAAGCATTCTTTTTTGTTGCACACTTAATATCATAAAGAATTCATATTCAACAATTGTGGCAGTAATACAGTGTCTCTAAACTTATTGGAGAAAAAAAAATGGCATTGAACTTGGTAGGAATTTACTGCACGTCATATAAAATCTTCCTGTTTCCGAGTATTTTATTTTATTCGGAATGCCTTCATAGTTGTGGGCTGTTTTTTTTTTTTTTCCCTGATGGTACATTATCCATCTCTTTTACTGTATCATGTAGACATTCTCCCAAGAGGTAGCCAACATGATCTTGGCCCATGGGCTTAGATTACTCTATCAAAATATTCCTCTGACTCGTGTGCTTCCTCCCTTTCTCCATCACTTTTACACACACACACACACACACACAAACATATCTTCGCTCTTTGTCTCTCTCTTTTCTCACCAGTTAATCGTACCTGGTTGACATGAAAAAGTCACCAGAATTGTATCTTTGTCTTTAATTAACCGTGTCAGTAGGAACAGATGTTATATATTGGATTAGAGTACACCCTATGTGCTCTGTAGTGGGAGATGTGACCCTACTGGAAATAAGTATCAGATGGCTTTTTTTTGGCTATCCTTGGTCAAATTGACTTACTGATTATCATTGATTGTATACCCTTATTGTCTTGGTATATTATTTATATACTACACTATCTAGGTACAGTCTAAGAAACAACTATTGTACCAAGTTTTGGTGAATACATCGCGGAAAAGTAAAGCCATCTGACACACACATCTGTGTACCTTGTAAACAGTTGGCAGACCTGTGGAACCTTGGAAAGGGTAGTCAGTTTCACCATTGATTCACATAAATACTTACTTCTTCCAATGATCATTCATTATTGCCAATACAGTATGTGTCTATATTTGACAACTACTGTAGAGTATTACCGTATATACTTGAGTACAGTTTGAGTTTTTATGATCAAATTATTATGCAAAAAGTAGGGGTGAACTCTATACATACACTATTTTTGAGGGGTTAAAATTCATGCATTACCATGGGTCATTTATGATGAATGATAGCTATCCAGTACATGCTCACAGTAGGCTAACCTTTCCAGTAAGCTCCTATATCCAGGGCTTGCTTACCGTACCCGTAGATTCTTATCTTTATGTTGCTACATGAAGATCAGAACCTCGCTCACTATATATGCCACTTTGCATCTGTTTACATTGCTGGTGGCATTGTTACCAAATTAAACTCATTACTGTAGCCACATCCCCATGCTCTCTCCTAATTTTGGGTAGATATACATAATTTTTTCAATTTCCTTTTTTTCGGTTTCATACACACAAAATCCTACCTACAGAATGTGTAAAAAAAAAAAATAATAATCATAAGGGCAGCGGGCATCCGCTGAGAGGAGGGACTGGAGCAGAGTCACGTCCAATCATATATAATGGAGTCAAGGCCTCCAAGTACTTGGCATCAGTTGACACTGCAGTTATTGGGCGGCTGTTGACGATCACTTCTGCCTCACTGAATAATGTCTGTAGTCGCTCATCGTCAGCCACTTGAGACCCGACGATTGCCCGAAGCACCTTACGCACTGTACGGATTTGTCTTTCCCATATACCTCCCATATGAGATGCTGCAGGGGGATTGAACACCCACTCCACCTCCTTCTTCAGATGTTGCTGTATGTGCTTGTCTGCCATCCAGATGCGAGCAGCTGCCCTGAGTTCTTTGCAGGCCCCAACCATGTTTGTGCCATTATCTGAGCGGATGCGTTCAGGAGTACCTCGGTGTGCCATGAAACGGGTGATTGCATTGATGAGAGCGTCGGCATCAAGAGATGGACTGCACGGGTTGTCAAGCATGTGAACAGACACCCATAGCGCTTGGCTGTCTTGCGCCCTTGTTTGGTCTGGAACAGACCAAAACAATCCAATCCTGTGAAGGCAAAGGCTTTCCTGGGCAGGTCTGATGTGCTGGCAGCACGGCTTCTCTTTGATGCATGGACACCCGGTTGTTGCGACGGCAGACAGTGCATGCCTTGTAAATCTTATCTTTGCAATGAGCCCCATTTCTTGTTGGTACCGCTCTCTCTGTATCACTCTAAAAATTGCTGTCTTGGCTTGGCGTAACTATGACACACTTAACACGGTGATGTGTGCTGTTGGTGTTTTATCTTTGAGCACGTAACCCTCCGGATCCAAGCTGCTACTCCTTTGAAGCTAGAGCCAAGAAGAGTACTTTTCCCACAGGCACTGCAAGGGTTCTTTGGTCCTGTCTACTATGGAGGTCAGTGAAGTCACATCCCCTTTCACTTCAGGATCGCCCTCGAGCTCCATGTCAACCTGCGGTGCCTTTGGCCAATACTCAGGAGGTACCATTATAAACCTTGGACCCTGGATCCAACGACAATCCTCCAGCATCTGAGAAGCGGTTACTCCTCGTGTTACATCATCTGCTGGGCTCTGCTCTGAGCTGACATGTCTCCATTGCCTCATGTCCGTGACTTCTCTGAAAGACGACACTCTGTTTGCAATAAAGGTGTGGAAGTGTTTCTCAGCATTACCAATATACTTCAACACTATCGTCCACCAGTGGTACACTGAGTTCATGCCGCACTGTTGTGTCAGCATGCGCTGCCAGTACGGCAGCACAAAGTTCTTGCCGTGGTATTGTTTGTTGCTTTAAAGGTGCTAGTCGGCTCTGCCACTGCCACACACAAAGGAACAGTCGAGTCTTCCTTCCTGGTCTACAGTCTTCAGGTAGGTGACAACTGCATAAGCTGATTGTGAAGAGTCGCAGAAGTGATGCAACTGAGCAGAAGCAGTGCGGCTCAGACCAACTTATGTATAGCAGCGTGGAATCTGGAAGTCCTGCAGCAGTTTCAGGTCCGACAACCAACACTGCCACAAGACTAGGTTGTGGTCAAGAAGAGGTACGTCCCAATTTTCTTGTCTCCTGCACTCGTTCTGGAAGATGATCTTTGCCTTGATTGTGAAAGGACAGATGAAACCCAGTGGGTCATAGACAGAGCTTACAATGCTTAGAAGCCCCCTTTTTGTCATAGGCTAGATTTGGACTTTTGCCTTTGCAGCAAACTGGTCCATTTCCAAATTCCACATCACTCCCAGGGCTCTCTCTGTGGGCAAATTGTCATAGGTGAAGTCCACTTCCTTGATACCGGTGTGCCGCTTTCCCATGGGGATTGTGCTGAGAACTCCTTATCCATTTTGTAAGCTTGAATCCCTCTCTTAGCAAGAGTACTTGCAGCTGGTGTGCCATGGAGATTACTTCCTCAGTATCAGTAACAGACACAAGCAAGTCATCCACGTAAAAGCTCTCTCTAGCTCTGGTGGTCGCTACGGGGAATTCTGAAACATAATCCTGGAAAGTTCTCTGCAATGCATAAGTAGCACAAGATGGACTCCACACCCCTCCAAAGATATGCACTGTCATTCGGTAGGCAGTTGGGGGTCCCGGCAGGCTTCTATTTTCCCACCAGAGGAATCTTAGGGCATCCCTGTGTTCAGGGTGCACCTTGACCTGATGAAATATGGCTTCAATATCAGCCATCAGCGCAATCGGCTCCCGACAAAATCTTATGAGGACTCCAAAGAATTTGTTGTTGAAGTCTGGTCCTTGAAGTACCTCGTTGTTTAGTGACACGTTGGCAAATGTTCCAGTACAATCGAAAACAATACGAGTTTTCTCTGGTTTATTTGGATTTAGTACTGGTTGATGAGGCAGATGCCAAGTTCTTCCAGGATTTGCTGTTAGTTCCCCATTTGGCACCTTCTCCATGAAGCCCTTAGTGATCAAATGTTAAATTTCTGCAACATGTCTTAGTTTCAGTTCTGCATTTCTTAAGAGTCATTTCTCAGGCTATTCAGATGCCTGACAACAAGTGATTTGTTGTCCGGTAGGTTAGGTGGTTCTCGCAGGAATGGAATGGGAAACTGGTAGTGTCCATTTATCATCGCACCTGTCGATGACCAGAGTTGGACGACTCTTTTGTCCTCCAGCGACACTGGCGCATCAATTATAGTTTTTTGAAAGGTCATCTCCTCCCAAAAGCGCCTTACTTGTGCCTCTAGACATGTCTCAGCAGGAGGGAGAGTCAGTGGTGAGCCCATGACAGCAAGAGTAGTAACATTTTCATGGGCCATTGGACCATTTACAGTCCATCTGAGTTGAGTCTTCACTGCAAATGGTGCTCCATCTCGTTCTGTCCGGCAATCTAATGGAATCGAGGCTCTTGGACTGTCCTGCCCTATTAGTAGTTCAATGTCTTGAACATCAGACACAGGTGGTATGATTTCTCGAAGATGTTCCCAATCCATTGCATCCATAGTGGACGCTACTGAGTCTCCCAGTGAAGGGGCAAGCGGTCAATTACCTTCGCACTTGCTTGCCTTTGACTTCCAAGTCTATCTCCAATGTGTGTCGTTGTTCTTCATGGGTAAGAGTGTCAATAAAGAGTGACAGTGGTTTTCCATACGTCTTCAATCGC